ATTAAAATGCCACTGCCAGTCAAAACTGCAGGGGAAGCTCAATGGGTGAAATATAATTATCAGGGCTGGCTTCTGTCCAGGAAGCTGGGGTTAACACCACTTTTCTCGCAGAAACACAGTGAGAAGTCTATAATGCGGCAGTCCAATAGTGCATTATCTTCTCCATTCAAAGTGATGTAATATTGGAGGGTTTTATTCTTACCACAGCTTGTCAAAGAAAAGGCCACAATTTATCTTAAAGCTGATAGGATACTTAATGATTTACTAAGTGTCACTTGTTGGAAGAAAGGAAGCACTCCTAGCTAGCATGGCAAAGCAGGGAGCAGCAATTCCTACAGGCGTAGTCAGGGCAGTGTGTGTGAATTCTGTCAACAAGTGTACACCCCCCACAGAATTCTTCCTCTTCTGCAGTCACCATCAAACCCTCATCAAATTGAAGGCATTTTGCAAGGTGCCCGGAAGGAGGTGGGGCTGCTAACTCACTATGAAGTTCCAGTTGGATCCAGTTATTCCATGGTGTTAGGTGTTATACTACCTTTCTGATCCTTTTGACATTTGGGAAAAATCAGCTAGACAGTGTAATCTTAATAATCTTGCTGCATGTGCCATCTTCTACTGCAGATTTTCTTTTCTAGCACAACAGATGTTTTTCTAATGCTCTTTTGTGGTGTTTTTGTTAATTTGGTCTGCAGCCATCCATTTATATTCTACTGCTCTTGAACACAGAGACTGTAAGTCAAGAATGAAAGCTTTGATGAAGGGTGAGTGCTTCACTTGTAACCAGACATAGATCTGGACAGTCTGTGTCTTGTTTTAACAATGTAATTGCTTCAAGCTCTCTTGCTTAAATCTCTGAAGTCAGGTCCTCTAGCAGGAGCTCCCAGGTCCTGGTTATCATAAGAGTAAAATCACGTTAGGCAACCTATTTAAACTGTTACACTTCTGTGTTTATTTTTTTTTTATTATTATTATTATTATTATTCCTGAGGGGCAAAATTTCACTCCAAAGGATGTGGCTAAATTATAGTAAGTGTACTTTGTGTGGAGTACAGCCAGTATGGCATGGATCTTAACTTGGGAAAGTAAACATGAAAAGTTCTGCACTGGCCACTGCATTATCATTGCTGTTGTGCTTATGACTTACTACTTGAAATCTGAAAGAACTTTATCTAGGATTAACAAGCTACTTGGAAACAGGAGATATTGCTAATATAGTTTCTTGAGTTTGAATGTATCTCAAGTTCACTATATCTGGTAGTGAACTGATTCAAGTTTCAAGTGGTATATTTCCTGAATGCAGCTGAAACATTAGTATGGGTAATTTCTGCAGCCTTCTTCTCTTTATAATGGTAATGGCATAGTCTGAGGCTGTTTGTGACTCTAATCCCGCTGAAGGTCAATAAGAAGCGGGTACCCAGTGCTTTATCCTTCAGGAAATCACAGCCCAGGGGCAGTATTCACAAAGGAGTTGCTTTGCTGCAGTGGATTTTGCTTCTGCTCAGCAGCACTCCCAAGACGATCTGCAACCTTGATCAGTACGGTGGGCTTGCCTTCGTAATGGGTTCTGCAGTGCCAAGACTTCTTCCTCCAGGAGCAGGGAAGTACTAAAGAACAAATATCCTGAAATATGGAAAGGATTTGTCTTGTTGGCTCATCTCTCTTTTTGCGTCAAGCTCATCTTTGAGACGGGTGCTGCCATAAGCAGAAAGGCTTAAAGAAGGAATATGTTTTGCTGCTTTCAAATAACTTGAGCCAGGTGCTTGTCTGCATAGCTTGATACAATTTAGAGTGAGAAGGGTGAGGGGATGTATAGATCTTGCCTACACCCAGTTTCTTTTTTTTTTTTTTTCTTTTTTTGTTCTTTTTATCCCTTGGTTTGATTTTGTTAGTGAAAGTACTTGCGGAGAGATTCCTCTGGGGATGAGCCAGGCTCAGAGGCATTCTTGCATCTCCATAATGCCAACATGCTTTCTAAACATCTCCCATTAGCTTCCCCACCTGAAAAAAAGAAACCTTAATTATCAAGTTATTAGGAAAGCTCGTGTTATTTTTCCCTTCAGTGTTTCCTCTGTTGCTCTTGCTTTGGTGATAAGAGTTTGAATAATGCAACTGACTCCATGTGGCGCTGGAGAACTGTTTTGTCTTCAGGCAGTTCCTTTTTGACAGTCTGTGTGTGTTTGCCTTCTCATATTTATGGTATATGCTCTTAGGAGTAACATACTGCATCCTGAATGCCAGTCCCCTCCTATCCTGTTCCCTCTCCTTCTCCATCCCCTTCTTTAACAGCTAGCAGCTTCCTGATGATTATATTAGAATTAGTCCTTGATAAATTAACCAATTATAGTTGGAATCTCTTACATAGGGCTAGTTCTTCCACAGCTAAAAATAGAGGGAAGCTGAGACCTTGTTGCCTCTAAGTGAAAGGTAATAATCTATATCATTATTTGAGCATTTATTTAATTAAAGACCAATAATCATATTGTTTAAAGAGACTCAGCAAAGTGATTAGATGGCTCAGGGGATTGGTAATAGGATATAAACCTTTTCACCTCTAGGTTACTGGTTCAAGTCTAACTTCTGTTGGTAGCGGCCAGAAAGTGTTGTGTGATCAGTGGACTGTTGAAATACATGAACCGTTTTTAGCTTCCTTTCTGATTGGGCAGGGTTTTTTTCTCCCCATTCCTGCAAAAACATTCAAAATACAGTAAGGAAAGTATGGAACTAGATTAGAATGTGCAAAGTCTGAATTTGCTTTCAGGACAGCTATAGACCTCCTGTGTGAGGCTGAGCAAGTTGCTTCATTTTGCCTCGATTTGTTCTCAGGACAGGGATATCGGCATTGCTGCCTCCCTGTCTCTTTCTTGATCTGGTCTGTCTGAAGTGCAGGCAGTCCTTGGTGGGGTTTGTCTGTACAGGATGCCCAGCTTAATGGGAGACTAATTTTTGTACGGTCATTTAAAATACTAACCAAGTCTTTCAGTTGGTGGAATTCCATTTTCATTCTGGGCAAAACCTCTCATGTTGGTCATCTGCTTTCCTGGTTTGAATACTAGAGGACTGGAATCTCTTTATCCACCGCTATGCTTTTTAATAAAAAGTAACCACTTAATCTAGCAGGTTAAGTTGAATTAAAACTGGAACTGCTAATTGGGAATGACCACATTCTGTTTGCAGAGATAAATTAAAGGGAATCTTGGATCAGTCTGTTTGTTTTTCTATAGTGGTGCTTTACTCAGTATATGGTGGTTCTACTTTAAGATTTAAGTTGCATTTAGGCATGTTAATTATTTTAATCTCAGTTGTGCAAAATCAGTAGTCTCCTGCCTTTCTGGGTTAGGAAACTGAGGCACAAATGCTGATTTTCTTATAAAAGTTTTACTGAATCATTGGTAGAGAAGGGACCCTCTCTGTCTGGTTCCTGGCTGTACGCTTCAGCCAGGAGTTTTTTCCAGCTCTAGTAAGATTAAAAAAAAAATTAATGTGGAAGAACGGTTTCACCTAGGTTTGTACAAAAGGATCCTTTAACACAAAGCATCACTGTCTGTTGTTTTTGGTTTTGATTTTTTTTCTTCCTTTCTCTAATACAGAAAATTAGATACTAGCCTGGTAGATAAGTGGATAGAATCAGATCTTAGTTAAATGGAAGAGCCTCTGTCAATCAGTATATTACAATGAGCTACAAACCAGGAAGGTGGGGGTAGGAAGAGAGACTCATTCTTCTTTCTCTTGTCTGTTTATCTGCTGATTAAAGATGTCATACTAGGCATACTGAATGGAGATGGTCTTTCTGTCCTGAATTTATTGGAAGTAAGGTTGAGTATAGTAAGCCTTTTGTGTGCCATGACCATGCCTGTGATCCATTATCCAGGGCGCATCCCTACTAATGATTGAGGATGTTGATATGAAATAGAAATAATATGTGCTGGCATTAGTTGTTATATGAAGAATTTACACCCTGCCTTGTAATGGGACTGGAATATGTAATAATTCCCAAACACACTAGGCTGTATATAGATGCTTGGTGTTTGTAATGAGAAGATAGATTGTTGCAGCATATCTTCAATTACCTATTTCCACGGGAGTGCTGTGTGTTGGGTGCTCTGCAGCCTTTCCTTCTGCCCTGGTTGACAGGTTGCCAGGCACCTTCAGCTTCTATGAATGTAAATGTCAGTGTCAGAGGAGTTTGGAAGGTGATAGTTACAACAGTGTAGTACTATAAAAGTTTTCAGGTCATTATGAATTTATAGAAGAGTGCACACTGCATATCCTGGTTTTCATGGCATGATTGGGAAATGACTTTTTCTATCTGCTGCTCTGCCTTAAGGGAACATTAAGAGACAAAATGGGCACAAGAGATACAAGTATGATGAACATCAGGAGTCTGGTCCTCCTCCGAAAGTATATGGCTGTTGAGATTCGGTGGATATTGGTTTAGTTCAGACTCTTAATAGAAAGGTGGCAACTCTGAGATTTGGTGATTGGTCCAGACCAGATTGTGAATTTTCAGGAGTTTTGAAGGTCATTGTATAAGAAGTTATACTGTGTTTGGGCTGTCATACTGTCAAGTTTCAGCTTTTGCTTTTTATTTTTGTCATGGCAAAACCAGACTGAGAGTGCAGTCTTACAATGTGCGTACATTTTGCAAGGAATGCTGACAACTTGCATGCTTAGGCAACTCAGAGAATGCTGTAATGACAAGTCAGAGGAAAAAAGTGCACTCCCTGCCTGGTGTACTTGTTTGTTCTGAGATGAGAAAAATTTTGTGGTGCTTGCAGGAATTTTGTGCATATCCTAGCTGATGATGCTTTCATGTTGAGAATGAATGTAACCTGATTTTATGAAAGTTTGGCAGGAATCCATGCAACTAGACACTAAGCACTTCCTTTCCTCTAGTTTCCCTTAGATCTCACAGAATATTTAGCAAAGCAGTGGCTGAACACCTTATGTCAGAGTGGAGAAACCTGTACAAGGGTATGTAATTCTCTTCTTTCTTTTCACAGCTGGTCCTGGCTGAAAGCTCCCACTCTGACACAGGCTCCCAGTGCACCGAGAGCCACACAGATCTCCCACCACCCATTGAGAGAACAGGCGGCATTGGAGATTCCCGGCCTCCATCATTCCAGTAAGAGCAAGCTGTCTTTTTTTTTTTTTTTTTTTAAACCAAAAAATGCAATTCCTGTCTGTTTCTTCCCCACATTTCTCCCTGCTGCTGCAAACTAGCTATTTATTGTTATTGTTAGAAAAATAATATGCTTATTAGAACAGAGGAATTAAAAGGGGGATGGGAATAAAAACCCCCTATCATTGTTAGAATTAAATATATATCCTGTATGTCTCATTTTGAAAAACACTGTGGAAGAGTTAAGTAGCGAGGGAGCCCAAAATGCTTTTCGTAGTATATGGATGACAACTTTTTATTACTCTGTTATGTGTAATTATGTAGTATGCAGAGCCAGCAGAACACTGATACCAAGAGCAAAAATTTACATAAGGAATAATGCCTCCTCCATGTCCAGACAGAGGCTAGTAGCATGAACTGCATATAGCCAGACTGGGAGTCATCTGATTTAATGGTATCCTTGTTATTTCCTGTTACGTGTGCATAGCCAATGTATATCCTTAGAATACCTTCATTTTCAGGGAGGCCCTCTGAATTTACACAAGGAGGATTTAAAGCAGGACCTGGTTCTAGCTGTGATCTTAGTATATGTTCGGAGAAGGAAATGTGGTCTTGTTTGCCGGGTGCCATGCGTTTCCATTGCTTTCTGGGATACCTATTGCCTGGAAGAGCTCTTCGTGTTGTGTATGAGTCTTTTACAGATAAATGCCTTCTAGAGGGGACAAGAAATCTTGGGAAATACTTAACCCTGCGTGATGCTGTGTGTCTTGCAAGGGCTTTACTGCCCTCGTGCGTTCGTGAATTGCTTTATGTTGACTGGGAGAGGCCTGTATGAGTGCAGTCACATGGCCTGCAAATATAACTAGTTCTTTGTCTTTCTGACCTGTTCCTACATGTAATAGCTGCAAGATCAAACTTTATTTAAAAAAATGCACTGTGAGTTAGGCACAAGTCTGTGTTTGTGGAACCACTCGCTGCTAATAACTGTAGGTACTCAGACCGATGAAATTTAAGCTATGCTCTGCTGATGCACCTGCTGTCCTCCATAGTATTCTAAAAATCTTGTCTGTATCTTCATGCTGTCAGTCAGCACAGGGCTGCAAGTGGTGGTATCTTCATATTACAGAGCAAATGCGGGAATCCTCAAAGGGGTGAAGTAACTTACACAGGTCATGCTGAGTCTGGGGTAGCAACATGGGAGGTCGTGCTTTCTGGCTTGTGTTCTCATTCCTAGATAAATCACCTTCCTTCTTTCTCTCTCCCCTACCCCTTTTTGCTTTCATGCTTTAAACTGCAGTGGAGAATCTGGCTTGTGGGGAGGTCTTCTGGACTAAAACTTGTTCTCTCTTAATGCCTTTTTTGGTTTTTCTCTTCACAATTGAATGTCTTAATTTTTGCAGTGTTTTTTGCTATTGTGTTTTATTTTTTCAATCCAGAAAAGAGCCTAATGATGACCTAAGCTTATTTCCGTAACACAGGGCAGAGTATTTCACTCAGTTATTCTCAATGAAGCCCTTAATTCTGTTTCGCTATTAGAATTTCATTTTAACACACCCACTCTAGGTTCAAAGATTCCAAGTGATAAAGAGTTCACTGTATTTTGAAATTATTTGTTTCTCTTGGATAAACTAAATAAGTTGAGCTGCTCAAGTTTTTCATTGTAAAGCGTAGCTTCCAGAAATTGAACCATGACTGTAGTTCTCTTCTGATCACTTACAATTCTCCAGCAATTTTTGAAAATGATGTTTCTGGGGATTTTGGCATGGTGATTCTGCGCAATAGTGTGTTCAGTGCCATTTCTGCATATTGTCTCCTTGAATAGTATTTCCATTTAAGAGATCAGTAGTGCAATCCTGTAACTTTCACAACTGTAACTTCAGTATTACTGTATACTCATGTTTACCTCCCCTTCTGTAAGTGTGACTTACCTTCTTGGTTCATAAATTCCTGAGATTTTTTTAAATGCTATTCAAACTATCAGAGATCTGTCATCTGTCTTCCTTCTTCAGTGTTGATTGGGGCTTTATTTATGCAAGAAGCCCAAACTGAGCTAGGTGGTGTATAATTGTACAAACAGAAATGTTGCTGGACAACAAAGAATACAAGAGATAGATGAAGCAGACGGGTCAGCAGGCAATATCATGCAAAGGAATGAGATCCTTACCAGAGGTGAAGTGGTAATCTCAACTAGCTGCCTGACAGCATTGATATTTTGCTTTGTCATTGATTAGATCCAAAGAAAATTGACTTTTTCCCTTCCTGATGAGGGTTCTGAAGTTCATCCTGTATTTCATGCTCCACTGCTTCTGTTTAGTGGTTGCCAAATCCATGTTCATCTGAATGGGTGAGGCTGCTCCTGGTTTAGTGGTGGAGGTGCATGACTGAGTTGAGAATAGTGACCTCTGAGCTACCTTTCTTACACAGCTCTTGGGTATGTGCACTGAAAATTGTGTTGAATTTAATTGGCTCAGCAATGAGGGAGGAAACAAGCCAGCTGTGAGCTTCCTTTTGCACCCTTTGTTAGGGTGTAAACCACCTTTTGTAGGCGGGTTTAGCCTAGGAGGAGATTTAGTAGTGGAAAGTATCAGCAGTAGTCACTAGATGGTGGTGCTGAGATGTCCGAGAGCCTCACAGGGTGCCTTTAGGAAACTGTCACCCTCTTTCCCTTTTCAGTCGTACTAGACTGAAACAAGAAATACAAACGTACTTGTGACAACACTTAAATACATACTTGGATTTTGGTAGCTTCATTAGGGCTTAAAATGCGTAGTCAAATGTTTTCTTGAATAACAACCTCGATTTCCTAATTTGTGTGGTGGGCATGTCAGTACATTTCATTAATGCAAAGAAAGTGTGTGGGCGTGCAGAAGGCTTTTCAGCAGTCTCTTAAATGTAAAACTATAGAGATGTGCTTACACATATGCCAATTCTGGGTCTGCCTTCCACAGAAGTCCGTGGGACCAGTTGGTTAGATTGTTGGTAGTTTTAATTCCCTGTGTGAAATGTGCATGGCAGTGTACTCCAGCCTCATGGAATTCTAGGAGAAATAAATTAATGACTCCGATGCATTGGTGTAAGTATAATGATGGCCATTATGCACTCTGTGTGCATAAGTAGGACGTCAGGCATAAATAACAGGTGCAAAGGGCAGATGTGAATTGGGACTGCTTTTTAAATGGGTGGTATTTATGGGACACACAGGAAGAGTATGACCAGTAACTTTCTAAGGGAAGTCTTTTACAGGAGAGCATTAGCCCACGTCAGATCACGTGCTATTGTATTTTCAGGAGCTTTAGATCAGTTTCCACAATTTAGTCCGTTAAAATGAGCTATGGCCTTTGCCAGCGCTGCAAGAGGCTTTTCTTATTTCCTTCCACATGAGCACTTCAAGGTAGCTTATTAAATGCAAGAATAGTAGAGATACATAAAACAGATTGAGCCTGAGGGGAAAACTAAATAGCTACGCTAGTTCTGTTCAGCAGGGGAAAAAAGAGCATCTCCATCTTCCTCTTTGCTCCAGCCAACTCTGCTTTAATATGACTGTTTTCTTTTCCTCAGCAGAGATCTTGAAACAGATGGTTGCAAATAAGCAGTCTTACATATTCAGTGTTCTATATTACAGTCACTGCTCTTTGTTAGCTGACTTGTCTATTGGAATTAGAAGTGAAAGCCAGCCTGGTTTATATGAACTGAGAAATGGCCCTTTCTCAATGCTTGGAAGTTCAAGAGTATAGAGCTGTCACTGCTGTTTGTTTAGATTCATCCCAGAAAGCAGCCCTAAACCATGGGGACAAATTCTCTACTGCCTCTTTGAAACCTTTTGTTCTGGTTAATTGTAGTAGTGAGAAAATGACTCTCAGCAGAGCCCTTACAAAAGCAGAGTGGAAGAAATCTGGCCACGGAGATCATCATCAAGATCTTTCTGCTTTTTGCCCAAAGCTCACTTGCTCATAACGGTCCTTCACTGGGGCTTACTAGATTAATATTGTGCTGGCATATCAGTGTAGCTTTCAAACAGTTGAGAACATGGGGAAAGGACCTGGGGTCTATTTGTACATTTCACAGACGTGTACTTAATTATTTTGAGCTTTGCTGTGACTTGGAAGACTTCAACCTTCAAGGTCAGCGCTCTGTATTAAAAGTGGCCACAGTGAGCTATAGCTTCTGCCCTTTGGCTGTCAGCATGCCGCATATCTACCTTGGGTTATTGTCAGGAAAACAAACCTGTTCAGGGTGAACAAGCACTTAAGGAAGTGAGCTGAAACACTGGGTTTGGTTTAAAAAAATATATGTATGTATTGGAATATTGTAGAAAAGGCAACTAATTCACAGGCTTGAGAATAAGCCCTTGATAGAGCATGTCATCTGTTGGCATTACTAGAGGAGCTCATACATGTATATATTCCTCAGATCTGTGATCTTCAGAATGAGCATGGGAGGGTTTGAGAGATGCACAGGAACTTGGGGTGTTTTGGAAGCCAAGGTGAGTGTTAGGGTCAACAAGTTTTGTTCTTCCAAAAACCAGTGTTATCTGTTTGTTCTTGTGTTAGGCAGGTATGCTGCATATTTGTGGTATTAAAGCTATCATGATGGAACTGTGCTGAAATCCCATTTCCTTTGCAAGTGTGTTAGCAGCTAAAGCTGTCTTGTAGTTAGTTGTCGTCTTGCTGCATGCTAAAATGATCCCTTTTCTTAGCCTACCGGTAGGCTTTTTTTCCTATGGAAGTTTCATACAACAGTCTTGTGGCAGCTTTTTCAATGGCATGATGATACTACTTGTGCAAATAGCGCTGTGTCTTAGGGCATTGATATTGAAACTGTCTTTTCACCCTTCAGGTAGTTTTGGGGTGAGCAGAGCAATCTGAGGGAGCTTGTGGTGCTGCAGCAAGACTGCAGCTAATCTGCATAGTAGTTTTCTGGCTTCTCAACCAACATCCTCACGACTACAACTGCTTTTATCAAAAAGAAAAAAAGAGATGACTCCACTGTTTCTTCCTATTTGTTCTCTAACAGCCCAAATGCTGCCAGCAGCCGGGACGGCCTGGACAATGAAACAGGAACAGAGTCAGTTATTAGCCACCGGCGAGACAGACATCGACGGAGAAATAGAGAAGGGCATGAGGATGGTGAGTCCTATCTCATTTTTCCCCTTTTTCATTTAGAAAGAACAATTCTTCTGATAATCTTTCAGAGCAACAACTACACTTATGTGAATACCGCAGAAGAGAAACGTGTCTGCATTCTTGCGTGCTTTCAGGGACTATTATTATTTTAATGGAATAATTTGATAATTGCTTTGAAACTCTTTGAAGCTCAGCATTTTCTAAGAGGTCTGGACAATCTACAGTAAAGTGGCAGAGAGATTGTTTTTGACAATATACAGAACTTTCTGTAGTATTAGAAGATGATTAGCTCGGAGAGGAATAACACCACCCAATGCTGAGCTCCATACTGTCATGGCTAGGCTGCCTCCATTATTCAAGTTTGCTCATTTAAAGGTAGAACACGTTATCTGTACGATGCGTTGGGAGTTTGCAGTGTAGACAGTTTAAGAGTCTTAGTATTTTAACATTGCAAGATCTGAGCCAAAATCCTCTGAAATAATTTCTGTTGATTTCTCTAGGCTTGGATCAGCGGTAGTGTTTTATGCTGGTATAACTACAGCACATTGGCTCTGAAGATCTTCTTTTATACATAAATACACCCAAAGCACACATATAAACTACAGAACTTCATCTCTTGCCTCTAGTCTGTACATCAAAGTAAGCTTGCTTTTTTCATTTGTTGCCAGACAAGAATTTCCAGGCTTAATTAAGAATTAATAGGTGCCACCCATTGAGTTTAAAACAGTCCAGAATGTGGAATACTTGGGCCTAAGAGATGCCATCACAGGCTTTATTCACAGCTCCACCCACTAAAGTATTTGCCTCCAGTGAGAAAACCAGAAGTCATATATATATACTGTGGGTTAGAAGCAGGTGTCTTCCTGTTCATTTAACCCTTCCAACTTGCAAGTGACTCAGAGTGAATGAAAGTTACTCAGTGGGTGGAGCAGAGAGCTGTCTTTGCATGATCCTGCCTGCAGATTCCTTTGGGAAATCACAGAAAGAGGCAGAATCTTCTAATAGTGTTGTGTTAAAAACTTGTTACAGGAAGAATGTTAACGGTGGTTTGTTTTTAACATTAGTTTAAGCTAGTACCAATGCATGTTTTGCCATGGACATTCATGGCAAAAGAGCTGGTTGTTGAATGGCTAGTCTACGACCATAGTCTAGATTGCTCATATGGGATTGTTTGAGCACAGGAGTTTCTGCTTTCTGGTGGTCTGAAACTAGTTCATACTTTTCCCTTTAGATAGAAATGGGATAAAATTTCCTCCTTCTCCTGTCAGTCTAAGCTGTGCTGAGGCAAGAACATGTCACTCAGTAATGCAAACATTACCTGTTCTCAAAACAATTTAGGCCTCCTACCTGAAGCAGGCTATACGCATAAGGAAGATGTGAGTTTTGTTAACGTGCATAAAGCAAGGACAACTGCTGTATGATTTTGGTCTCATGAAATATATTATTTAATGTCCAGAGTGTTAATTTCAGTTGAAAGCATGTCTCCAAAATGCACAGTTCAGCACTGTATCCTGAACTGCCACTTAAAAAGATTAAAAGAAGTGAAATACACTTATCCCGGAGAAGGGTTTTAAGGCCTATTCATAATAATGGTCCCACATTAGCAGAGTCATTCTTTTCTTGAGTCTTCGTGTCCTCTTTGGAGCACAGCTGGATGTAAAATGGGGGAACAGTCGTAGGAAAAAGGGGGCGAAGGGTGGAGGAAGGGCAGCAAGGTTGTGACACCTGGTTCAAAGCAATTTCAGGGACAGCAGCTGTGTGCTCAGTTGTCATTATGAAATAGTGGTAAATCCTCCTTTCCCTGCCGAAAGAAGGAAATTCAGTTAGAGCGTTTGATCTTGTGCTGTAGAGACTTGTTTAAATAATACCAAAATTACAGCTCTAGTAGTTCACAGAGAGGCAGGATGAGGGATCTTCATTGAAGCACTGCATTACTCATAGGTTTGTTCCATAGGTATTATTATGCAGAGTAGCCAAGACATATATGTACAGTATTGCCAGCTCACCAAACTGTACAGTAACGTACCATGTAGTGTTTGTAACTGTTTGAGCTCATTATTGGTATAAAGTGAATGACAAAGAATACCCACCCTGACAATGAGGATATCCCTGGATACTCTGCGAAGGGAAAGAAGTACTCATTCCACAAGAAGAAATGAACAGTGTATTATAGCCTTCATTTCAAAAAAGGTGAAGTGAGAAAAGGTGCTAATAAGCCATTTGAGAACTGCATAGATGTAGACACATTAAGCTAAAACCTGTACAGGTCAAGCAAGCTTATTCCATTGATCCCTGATCACTGTGGAATTGAGAGGTTCAACAGAATGAGGTTCTCATCCTGACTTGGGAAAACCCAGGGCAGGGAAGAGAAGGGAAGCAAAACAAAAATCTGTTGAGAATGTAGGTAAAATGAAAATATCCCAAAGTAAATGTAAGTAGAAAAGCAGAATTCTAACTGTGAGCTGTGCAGAAATATCTCTCTCCTGTCAGCCTGGCATTTAGGGACCGCTACTGTTTTCAGAGCATGACAGAAGCTTCCTTTTGAGTTAGCCACTAGTTTTCACTTAAATGCCCTCCAGCCCCCACTGTACAGCTCCATCATGAGTAGATGAGAATTTCATCTTAATCTCCCAAATGGATTTAAGTTTTATCTTTTAGAAAGATTAAAATAATACTCAGTAACAAGCAATATTGGTACCATTAGTTGTAGGCAACCTTTTATTCCTTCTCGTTAAGGGTTAGACCCACGAACCTATCTGTGCTGCCCAGTCATTCTACATAGCGGTGGAGTCCTTAAAGCATAATCTTCCCTGTCTTTCTTAAACCACAGGTTTTAATTCATAAAAAGACTAGTTTAATGCTCAAATTAAAAAAAAAGGTCTTGCACAGACCAATTATTTGGAGGAATGGTGTGAGAAAGGGGTAAGAATGAGTTGGCAGGAAGCTGAAGGGTTAAGCATTTTTGTGTGTCTGTACATGAAGACAGTGTATGAATTAAAAAATGTTTATTGCCGACTTGTTTCCTCTTTGTTTTGCAGTGACAGCTATTCAGAATGCTCCGCAGGGCAAAGTGTTGTATGGAGAGCTCAGAACAGACAGATGCTTTGTCCTGAAAAGCTAATGGTGGAAATATCTGAGACAAAAGCTGGCAGGGAAAACAGGAATGGGAAAAAGGGAGTTTTTCTCTCTAGCTACTGTTGATATGGGGGGGGGGGGGATTAGAACTGCTTAAAGAGTTAAAAGTTTCTTTGACATTTCTGTCCTAATGTCCATTTTAATTTGCACAGATTGTTTCCTGCTTGTACAGGAGACTGGAAGACTGTGTCGGATAGTTCAGTCTGACAGCCTGTGCTTGAACTGCAACAGGTTTCTTACAGAGGCATTCAGTTTTGATTTGAAGAGTCTAGGTGATGGTAAACTAACCAGATTCTCTGATGGCTGATAATTAAAAGTGTGTTATCATGAGCAGATTGTTCACAATCCTAGCCTTTATGCTTTACTTCATTGTTGCAGGGTTACTCATCATAGAAAAACTATTTCTGCTGAATTGCTAATGGGCAATTATAGACATACATACAGAGGCTATTATAAATATTGATGGCGTACTGCAGCCAGAAGATGTGGGACACCTCTTTCCATTGAAAATGCAAAAGGATTTTGCTGCAGAGAGGCTGTGATTTACTAGATGGGATTCACTCTCATAACAACACAGGCTAGGTCATTTGCAAGCTCTTCCACCCATTTCCCTTAAACTATGCTGCTATTTTAAGTGTAGAGGCAATGAATAGCTGTGGATGCTCCTGTGCTTATATCTTCTCTGATTTCAAAAATATACCCACAAAGAGAATGTAATGGCCTGAGGAACATAATGAAACTCCTTCATTCATCAATGTGCATTTGAAGGTATGTGACATTTCAGATACAAGCACTAAGAAAATCATAAGAGAAACTGATCTGGAAAACAAAGTGCATTTATAATTTTATTGGTGAAATGTCTGCCAGAGATTGGGACAAAAATGAGAAGGGATGTAGTTTCTAAAGAATTATCACCCTGATCATACTATACTTAAGAGAGAGGAGGAACTTTGTTACTGTTTTTAATCTGTCCTATGCCAATGTTTAGAAGACTTTCTCTGGTGGCACTGTACAGCTGATGACATCAGGGAGCAGAAGTGACTCAGTTGGACAAATTCTGCCTAGCATGAGTTTTCCTTTTTAAATGGAGAATGGGAGGAAGGTTAGCCAGAGGGGCAGTTATCAATGTATCTGTCATTTCCTTCCTTACCTACTGTAGATGTCCAAACACACAACATCATCAGCCGTGGAATGCTCTTGGTTTTGTTGTTGGCCCTTTCATCACTTAAGCACCTCCTTAACTTTCAGGAAGTATGCTTAAATCCAAGTGATTTTGGTCAACCTCAATGATGTAGTTAAAGTATGTGCTAAGATTCTGAGTTGAACTGAATGCCTAATAGGTGCTAGAAGAAGCTGCTTTCTGGACTTTTATCCCGGACCTCATTTACAGCCGTGTCAAGGCTAAGGAAAGCTTTTCACTTATGTCATTCCTCTGCCGGAGCTTTGGTTATCTGTGCATCGACCTGTTACCTGTAGCAAGAGCACCAGTTTATAGGGTCTCCAGTTTTTCATCTTACTCTGTTCCTTTTCAGTCATTTTTAGTAGACCATTCTCTGCTAATGGGAACTAGAATGGTGTATGATGTCATATATGCAAAGCACATGGTAATTCTCATCCACAGATGCTCAGTAAAGCTGGGGAAACAATGAAGGAACAACAAGTAGAGATGTAATTTTTCTCCAGGGAGTTGCCTAAGTTTAAATTTGCCGTATTATTCTCACGCGTTAAGCATGAGGTTTCACACCAAGAGTGCAAGTAGAAAGAGGTTTTGCTCTGATACTGCTGTTGTATTCTCAGTGAGGTTAATAAAGTGAACTAGCTGAGAAAGATGAGCCCTGTGAGGTAAGCGTGGACAAAGTTACCTTCTC